ACAGGTGAGAAATAGAGCAGGCAGATAGTATCCCTGGCTACTTGGCCCCAGTGATGAGGAAGCTGGAGCAATGTGGGTTTTAGTAAGTTAACCAGGGGAATCCTCTTACCTGGGTATTGCAGAGGCCCAAACCGCCCAGCTCACTGGGCACTTGCAGACCAAATGCCCCCAGTTCCTTGAGGCCCTGCATAGTCTTCTCCTCCACCTGCTCTAAGGAGTCATTCTTGGCAGGATCATTCACTTCCTGGGCAGGGAATAGGACCTCATATTCAGAGGCTCCTCTAATCAACATTTGCCTTCCCCAAGAGGTGCTGTGCCCGTCACTTACCTCAAAGAACCGGGCCACTGGCCCCACCAGCTCTTTGAGAAACTGTGTCTGGTCCTGACTGAGCACTGCAGGATGGGGAAGAACAGGCCAGTCAGGTGGGGAGGCTGCCCTGCCCACACTGCCACTCACTACCCCCTTGCTTACCAGATGGGTATGGGAACACCTGATCCGTGGTGAGCTGGCCTTTGAACATCCCGGCGGCAAAGGACTTAGATTCCTGGGCAGGGAAGAGAAGTTTCAGGCCACTGGTTCGGTGCGTCTCCTGGCTCATAAGGGTCAATCCAATTTCCGGGTCACTTACCGCCTTGGCTGGTTTCTCTCTGGTAGAAGCATCGGAGAGGGTATCTGGCTTGTCCAGAACCGCCTGGGGAAAGGAGGCGATCACTTAAATAGGCTCGCGATGGGTCTTAGGGTGCCCCAGGGAGAGCCCGGGGAAGCGCTGGCTCTGGCAAAGTGATCAGCGTCTTTTCCCCTCCTTGCTCACTAGGGCACCCTGGCTTGCCCTTTCCCCTAGTTTCGGTGCCAGAGCTGTCACCAGGTGACTGGGATGAAGAGAGGCCCCTGTTGGTCGCAGGCTAGTGGGAGCCGACAACTCCCACTCCTGTGCCGCTGTCACTTACCTGAGCGGCCTCACTAGCATAAAGTCGCTGGACAGAGGTGGGCCGGTTTTGTCCCAGAAGCACAGTAGATCGTGAGCTGTAAGGAGTCGGGGTTCAGTCCTGCCCTGGTTTCCAGACCCACTGTCCCCCTGCCATATACAGACCTTCGGGACCCCAGCCGCAGCAGCTGCCGCCCCACACTCGGGGTCATCCGAGCGGACTGCATCTCTAAGCCGCCGCGGAAGCCTTGACCGCTGACCTCTCCTTACGTCCCCGCCTGCCTGAGGGTTGTGTGTCTGGGCCCTGACTCATGCTCCACAATGCTCTGCGCGGTAGGCGGCGTGGTCGTTCAGGCCCGATGCATGGTGGGAACTGAAGTTCCGGCGTGCACCCGGTCCCTATATTCTGACTGACCTAGAGTAATCAATCTTCAAGCGATCCGTTTTCTTTCCCAAACTCTTTAGTGCAGCAGGTCCGAACTAAAGTCTAGTTCAGCTAGAGGGATGGAGGTAGACTGGATCGAGTTAGAAGGGAGAGGTGGGAAAAAGGACGGTAAGGTAAATGTCAAATGCAGAGGCATGGAATATTTGGAAAATGTCTCCAACAAATAAAGAGGGGAATGGGGTGGCAGAGTCAAGCTGGGGTGTGCTCTAAGCAAATTCTGAGACCTAAGAGGTTTCACCAGCTCAAAACATCTAAAAGCACATAGTAGGAGCCTCTGGTCTCTTTCAATGGACTGGGAGAGACTGAATCAGGAGGATCATCGTGAAAAAATTTTTTTTTGGTTGCGGGGGTTCGAGACAGGATTTCTCTGTAGCTTTAGAGCCTGTCCTGGAACTCGCTCTGTAGTCCAGGCTAGCCTTGAACTCACAGAGATCCACCTGCCTCTGCCTCCCGAGTTGGGAGGAATTAAAGGTGTGCGTCACCACCAACCAGCCGGGAGATCATCATGAATTTGAGGCCTCAGGGACCTCGTTTTGTTTTGTTTTTAATGCGGAATGCTGTTTATTGAAGGAGGGAAGAGGTCTTAAATACAGGCTTACGGCACAATGGGAGAACCCCGGAGGGCAGAAGTTGGATACAGATGTTTTACAATCTTGCATCTAAGCTGTTAACGCCCATTATGCAGGATACACAAACAAGGAACTTCCCTTAAGCATTCAGGAGGGTGGAACCCAGCAGGGAATTAGCATAGGGAGGATATCAAGGTCAAGGTCAGCAAGCAAGGCAACAGTTACCCAAATAAGAAATTTATATTAGTTTTTTTTAAAAAAGATTTTGGCCGGGCGGTGGTGGCGCACGCCTTTAATCCCAGCACTCGGGAGGCAGAGCCAGGCGGATCTCTGTGAGTTCGAGGCCAGCCTGGGCTACCAAGTGAGTCCCAGGAAAGGCGCAAAGCTGCACAGAGAAACCCTGTCTCGAAAAACCAAAAAAAAAAAAAAAAAGATTTTATTTTAATTTTGTGTCTCTGTGTGTTTGTATATATTTTCCTGCATTGAGTGCAGTGTCTGTGCAGGCCAGAGACGATGGGTCCTCCGGAACTGGAGTTACGGGCAGTTATGAGTCTCCTGACGAGGGTGCTGGGAACATAGGTCAGGTCCTCTAGAAGAAGATGTGCATGCATCTATTTAATTATTCATTCATTCATTCATTTATTCCTCCCTCCCTTCCTTCTTTTCTTTCTTTCTCCCTTCCTTCCTTCCTTCCTTCCTTCCTTCCTTCCTTCCTTCCTTCCTTCCTTCCTTCCTTTCTTCAAGACAGGGATTTTTCTGTGAAGTCCTGGCTGTCCTGGATCTTGCTCTGTAGACCAGGCTGGTCTCGAACTCACAGAGATCCACCTGCCTCTGCCTCCCGAGTGCTGGGATTAAAGGTGTGCACCACCACTGCCCAGTGCATTTCTTTATATTTTTTAAAGGTTTATTGTATTATTTTTTAATTTTATGTATATGAATGTTTGCCAAGATGTATATATGCACATGACATGCCTGCCTGATGCTGGCAGAGGTCAGAAGAGGGCATTGATTGGATCCCCTGCAACTGGAGTTACAGATAGTTGTGTGCCACCATGTATGTGGGCGCTGGAAACTGAACTCAGGTCCTCTGCAAGAGCAATAAATGCTCATAATTGCTGAGCCTTCTCTCTCAAGCCTCATTTAAAAGTTTGTTTGAGGCTGGGCGGTGGTGGCGCACGCCTTTAATCCCAGCACTCGGGAGGCAGAGCCAGGCGGATCTCTGTGAGTTCGAGGCCAGCCTGGGCTACAGAGTGAGATCCAGGACAGGCGCAAAGGCTACACAGAGAAACCTTGTCTCGAAAAACCAAAAAAAAAAGTTTGTTTGTTTATGTGTGTGTGTGCACTCTTTCAAGCACTTGTCAGAAGACAGCTTTCAATAATCAGTTCTCTTTCCACCTTTATGTGGGTTCCTGATGTCAGGCTTGGCAGCAAGTTCCTGTGCCCAGTGATCCATGTCACTGACCTCTGTACACCCCTCTTTCCATACTTCTCACTGCGGTCATCAGGTCTGGGAAGAGAAAGAGCTGGGCTCAACTTAATTCTTTTGAATTGCTGGGACTGCCTTAGAGAAAACCGTTTTTCTGGAAAGTAGCTAAATTATACCTGGCTTTTGGGGAGGCACACTATGTGGAGCCCAGTGGTACCTGGGGACCTGTGGAAGAATGGACCCACGATCTGCTTGCCTACTTTATTAGCCACAACTGCGTAGGGAGAAGGCAGCTCAACCCCAATCTTGTCGGATTAGGGAGATTAAAGCAAGAGAAGAGAGAGATGTCCCAGAGACCGAGAGGTGAAAAACGGGTCTTTGGAGGGGAGATCTGGATCTGTGATGGGGGCCCGGGTGCTCTTTCGGTTCCTGACTCTTTCCATGGGGGTCTAGAGTGGAAGGACGAAGGCCGGGGAACCTTAGATGACTAACTGTGTGAGTGACTTGGCCTCACTCCCTCGTCACTTCTCACCAGCTCCCCGGTCAGCTCTCTGGCTCTTGGCACCCCCACTCTTGCGGTGGGCACCCCCTCTTCTCACAGTGCTGCACAGTGACCTCTTCCAGGCCTTGCTGGGTGAGTAATTCCAGGGTTCTGAGGGGCCACGGCGGAAAGGGCTGTCCCGGGCCTATGAGGTCAAGTGTTCCCGGTTCTAGAATGGGTGGGAGCCTGCAGAACATCTGGTCCAAGCTATAGCCTTTGTAGACTCATGCCCCTGTGCCCTCCATCAGCCTAGAGGAGCGTCTCTCTACAAACAGAAGCCAGGGGTAGCAGGGGTGGCCAGAGAGGCCTGGGAAGTGGGAGGGTGACTTAGTTATGTTCCTGTGACAGACATCCTGGACTATTATGAGGCTTCCATCTCAGAGGGTCAGGTAAGGTGCTGAAGGTGGGTGCCTGGCTTCCTGACTGAGCTGGCAGGACTTGGAGGGACACACTGATTCCTTGCTAGTATTGAATTGAGACTTCGGGGCCTTGGCAGCAGAATCCTGAGTACTGACTGAGGGGTTGGGGACACTGAGAGTGCTCTTTCTGTGGTCAGTCAGCCCTGTACCTCTTTCTCCCTCTCCCCTTTCTTGGATTGCCCCAATTTCAGCAGCAGAGAGCCCAGGCCATAATTAATTACTTTTCAGACTTCCTGTGAATCCTAGGGGAGAACTAGCCCCCAGGATTCCCTGCTGCCAGCCCCTCCCTCAGACCCTGCCCCATGCTGTGGCCTCCCTCCCACACTTAGACAACCGGGCATGCTCCCATCCCAGCTGTGGGCTTTTTCCTTCTAGGAAGTGAACTCCATCCTCCTTGCCTTTGCTGTCATAACCGAGGCTGACTAGGTCTCCCTCCATGTTTGCTATAGGGCCTCTCTGCTCCCGCTCCTAGCTCCTTTCCCATTATCCGGGTTCCTGCCAGCAGTGAAGGAGTTAACACTGCTAAGGCACCCCCCCATTCTGGCTCCTAGCTCCCTCCCTCCCTCCCCCTGCTTCCTCTCTCCTCCTCTCTCCCCTTCCCTCCTCGGCTCCGCGGCTTCATCGGCCGCTGCCATCTCCAACCCCCCCCACCCCACTCCCCCGCCACGGCCCCTAGCCCCTGGCCGTTCGGCAAGACCCCTGCATATCCCGGGGCTTCCCGAAATCCAGTTCCCCTCCCCCACCCCAGCTCATGCCCCAGCCCCAGAACTCCGGGGCTGCCAGCCCCCGGTGTCCCTGCCCCTCCTGAGAATCGGGGTGTGCTCCTCAAGCCCCCTCCCTTCCACCTGGGAGCCCCTTTTAGGGTCCCCCCCTCCCTTCCACGCTCCCCTATCCTTCTCTTCTCCAACCTTCTCTTTCCCCTCTCACCCCTCCCCCCATCCTGGCCCCCCCTGCAAAAGTGGGGTGCGGAGGGGGGAGGGGTGAGAACCCACCGAGGGGAGGAACAAAACTCCAATGAAGTCAGAGCCCCCTACTCGCCGCCGCGGCCAGGCCCCCCAACATGGACTGTCTCTGTATAGTGACAACCAAGGTAAGCATGATGGGGGGTAATGCCAGTGGGGAGGGGGAGCAGGTAAGGAATTTGTGGAGAGGGGTTAGGTAGGCCTTATCTAGGGCTGCAGACACTGGACTGGAGTGGAGCATCTGAAATAAGATGTATTAGAGGGGTCACAATTTAGTTTTGGGGTTCACATCTGAGAAAACGGTGGATTTGGCCACAGGTGCCTCCTGGACAGATCATTTTGTACCTATAGAGAAATGGAGAATTTGGTGTTTGGGGTGGCTTGGTAGGCTTTGGTGTTCACCAGCAGTGCTTTGAGGGCAATTTATTTAGGGAGAAACCTGCCTGGCTCACATGGGAGTTCTGCTCATATATGTGGGAAGGTGGGCTATGTGTGTGTGTGTGTTGTGGGGGGGTTTCTCTTTTTTCCTGGGCAAAAAGCTGGTTTCTAGGTGCTAACCAATTTGGGGGGTCTCTTGGCATAAGGGTAAAGGTTACTGGTTGTGAGTGTTTGATTTGTCTGGGGGTGTCAGCTGGCAGATAAGGGTGGCCCTTCAGGACACAAGACATCTTATGATAGATATGTTTGGGATGCTCCTGATTTGAGGGAATTGTTAATGTAGGGTTTGATTATATGGTATAATGGAGTTGTCAGAGATCTGAGGCCTGATACAGAATTACCTGAGAGAATGGACCAGGTGAGATTAGGATTTGGGGTACTCCCATGGGAACTAGAAGGTTGCAACAGCTGAGGTTGCCATCTCCAAAGAAGGATGAGAGGTTTAGGGTAGGAGGGTAGAGAGAAGGTAGTTGAGGAGGGGGACCATGTGGGTGATGCAAAATTTGGGGGTAGTCCAGGCAGGTGCCCAGTATCCCCATCGCCCACATTTCATCTAGTCCTGGTCAAGAAAACAGAAGAGCAGATGGAGGGGACTGTTACCCTGACTCTTGGGAGGACACCTGGGTTTAAGGGTCTCTGAAGAGGCTACTGGGATAAAAAGGTGTAGGAGGAGGCAGGGCCGCCAGAGCCAGGATCTCCACAAGGGCCCAGGGTCCCTGTGGTCAGAGCCTGGACAGAATGGGAGCTCTGGGATGAAGAGCCCAGGCAAGCTCCTGGTAGGATGTTTAGGTCGTTCGCTAGCTTGCTCGCTTGCTCCCAGACTCTGAGACTGGCAAGCTGGATGCCTGGTGTGTGGAGGGAGGCTTGGGCGGGTGGCAGGCAGCTGGGGGTTGGGGGGTGGGACAGGAAGTGGGGGCCGGGGGAGGCGGGGTCCGGGTGAGTCACAGGCTGGGGAGGGGGTTATATTTAGTGGGAACTGCAGCTTCTTATGGGAGGGAGCTGAGGACACACATGTTCCTTGCCACAAACTCACACATGTGTATACACATGCCTTGTGCACGTGTGAGCATGATTGGAGATTGGGGGCTGAAGACTTTAGGTCTTGTATCCCCGGCCCCATCTACAGGGCTGCTTGTTTTTCTCCTGTTCTGTGGGCTTTGGGCTTTCTTCCAGGTTGCTGGTTTTCTCATCCCCTGTAGTTTTCAGTAGATTTTTGTGCCTTAGTTCTTCTGGCCCTCTTTGAGCGTCTGCCTGTGCTCTTTCTGTCTCTTGTCCTTAGGCCTGATCCTTGGCCTTGGCCCCTAGCTGTTCTCACCTGTGTCCAGATGTATGTAGGAAACCCATCGGGATGTGTGGGTTCTGCTTCTAACACGTGAGCACATGAATGCCAGTAAGGGTGAGGGGTTTGCCTGCACTGGTAACCGTTCTGGGTGGATGCATTTATTCATTTTCTGCTCCACACTCCTGTGTGTTCAGTGGGGCACATGATTGAGCATCCCTGAAGGTAGCAGGCTAGCAGAGAGGATCATGCATTCGGGTTTTACTGAGGTTTGCCACATTCATTGGCCAGAAAACTTGTCAGCCTTCAGGGTGGAGGGACTCCAACTCCCATAAGGCCTTGAGGTACAAGATCCCTCCGTGGTAGAGTGTGGCTGTCCTTAGGACTGTTGGGAGTTGTGGTTCCTCTCTATCCAGGGCAGTGGCGGGGAGCCCAGGAAAACCCAGCAGGGGGCACATAGCTTCTGCCCTCCGAAAATGCTGGGGGGTGGGTTTGGGAGTGCTCAGCCTTTGTGGTCTCTGATCTCGCCTGGTCTGTTTGATGGCCCTCCCATCTTTCGGTGCCTCTATTTATAACCTGCTGCAGTAATTTAAGGAACATTTATTGAATACTTAATATGTGCTCAGCTCTGTGCTCTGTGAAAACTC